TATTAAAAAAAATTGAGAATCAAAATGACAAAAAGAAATGATTGCAAGAATGTGCGCGCGCGTTTGATTGCTAAGGAACTTGAGCTCACAGTCCGGTAGGTGAACAGTCTGGTCGCGTTATCCCCACATAGTGTGGGTAAACCTAATTGGCCGATAGCGAAATAGAGAATGAGATCGATAGGAAGTAACATTAATAAATAGGAAGAATTATTCTTAAGGACCGAATTCACAAATCTTTTATTTCTAATGATCAGAACTCATTGTTCCACTTGTCAATTTTTATTAATTGTTTAAGTTGTAAATGGTATTAAGTATCTTTCTAGTTTTAAATCTAGGTTATATAAATGGTAAATACTCCTAATTTGACCTGTAAATTTGTGTAATGTGAATGATAAATTTGAGGGCTTTAAAGTAATTAACTTTTGAATTTGGTCGTGCTAATGCTGATACTTCGGAATATTTAAAATTTTTTTAGATAAAATATAGAGATCAAGAATAAATGACAGAGTCAAATGAAAATTTTGAAAATGTTATTTGAAAATATTATTGCTAGATGCCGTGGTGTAATCTTGGGATTGTGATAATAAATAATCTAAATGAATCTTCATCACTCACACACACACACACAGATATATATATATATATATATAAATGTACACGCACGCGCACTTAAATAAGCACGAGAAAGTCAAAAGCGAGTTTTATATGTATTTTTTTTCATTACGAATTATTTTACATTTTTGTTGTGCAAAAGAATTACAGAATATGTACCTGCCAGCCAGCTTCAATAGTGTTAAGATTTTTACTGTCAGCATCACTTATAACCCAAATTTGAGAGATACTATACTCATCCTTTTGAACAGCAGGCTGCCACACGCTCATAGTTGCTTTCCCCTCCATAATATTTTTCTCCTTTCACAAAAACTGAAGCATACTTTATCCTCCAAAACCATCAAAGAGTGAAATTAGAGAAAGATAGAGGGAAAAAGTTTAGCGGTGGGTCCACAATTCTACAGTGTGAGCTCAAAGAATCCTCGCACATACATGTTATATCCGTGTGATATAAGGCAAGTTCTTAATTACCAACTAAAGCAAATTTTGTTGGTCACTTACACCAAATTTCGTAGATATGTGGATTTGGGCTCTATATATATATATATATTGATAAGCTAAACAACCTAAAAAGCTTGTTTATATAGGTAGAGTGAGGGACAACATAAGTACCTCATGGCCACCTTGACCAGCAACATATGGACGAAGAGGGACAGTTTTGAGATTCTTCTTCCCCAATTGTTGGATAGAGCTTGCCCTCAGGATGTCCTCCTTTCTTGTTCTTCTTATAGGAATGGTTCTATTTGGGCAACTTCCAACTTGGTGCCATGGCTGAACAATTGGCTTTGACTTTGAAGACATTTTGCTTTCTATCTTTACTTCAGGTCGGAAAGTTCGCCTCATCTTCAATCAAATGAAAAATGATGAGTCGGCTTCAGAATATTCAGATTAATAAGAAGCGAAATTAAGGGTTGGAGGAATCTCAATAAAGTAATCTGGTTCACCTTAATTTTGTGATTTTTGAGTTTCGGGTGATCAAAAGCTGGTTGATTCTGTAACATCCAAATATATATATATAGATTTTAGTTTATTAAAATGAGATTAATTAATTATCATTGAAGCTAATCTTAATTACGAGTTAGACTACTAATTAATAAATAATAGTTAAATAATAATTAATATATATTTAAAATATATATAGATAAATATAATATATAAAAAATATATATATATTGACAGTGGGTGGCACGCGGCCACCCACTGTTTGTTTTGGGGGGGGGAATTAAATCCCCGGTGGGCAGTGACCCACCTGTTACAAAAAAAAAAAAAAAAAACTAACTAACTAAGTGTTTGACTAAGGGATCACGTGACCCCTTACTTTTGAATCATTTTTCCCCTTCTTCCGCCTCCCCGTCCAGTAGCCTCCCCTTTCTCCTTCGTGTCACTCTCTGGTCCGTGTCTTCGCCGCAACCGCGACAGTGAGTGGGCGTGAGAGGTAGTTTGAGTGTGTGAGAAAGGAAGAGCTCTACTTGGGTACATATAAGATAATTAGGTAAGCTATTTTTATCCTACTATTTTTATTTAGCTCATTCTTTTTATTTTCTAAGTTATGGCAGACTGAATATTTTTAGGGCTTGTTAGATTTTTAATTTTTAAGGCTTCTAATTTAGTATTAGGATATTAATAGAGCTTATGTGGTTAGAATAAGAGTTTTATGACTTAGATTTTAGTTGGATGGTTGATTTGAGGCAATGTAAATTAGGGATTGGTTGAAATGGTGATTTGTATTAATGATGATATTAATTTCAAAATTTATCTCTTAGTTGAGTTCATTTGAGGTTATATTGAGGATTCAATGCTTAAACTTTGAGGATTGTTGTTGAAATAGTAATGTTGATGATTCTTGGAGAGACTTTAAGTAGTGGAAGTTGGGTGTTTGGAGTAAATTGAAGAAAATATTGTAAGTTATTGATTCTAATGAATGGGAAATAATTAATGGAAGAAGGGAATAGGATTGTAATAATGATTGGAGACATAGATGGTACATGATTATTTTTCTAAGAGTTAAAGTAAACACTTTTTTGGAGACTTTTGGAGGATTTAAAGGAAATATTCTTATTAATGATGTGAATGAGAGAAATAGAGTTGGGAAGTATTAGGAATTGTCACTTTGAAGAATAGATGAATTATTATTTTTCTAAGGATAAATTTTTTTAGATAAGCCAATTATGAGGATTTAGTTAATAAACTATTTTAATGCTATATTAATTAGTCTTTTTATATTAATATATGTTTATAAACTTATTGTTGTAGAGTGAGCTTGGTTTGGGCTCTTGGGTCTTGAATCCTCCTACTCTTAGTTCTTGTGTCAAGAACTTGAAGTAACCACTTTCTAATTTACCTTGTATGCTTGTTGATGTGATTATAAGCATGTGTTGATATTATAAATGTTATCAATATGTGTTATGGTGATTTTTGTATGAAAAGTAATTTATATATATCTATATCAAGAGTTATGTTTTGTTAAATTTATTAGTTAAGTGGGCATGAATTATTTCATCTTATGAATATCTTATTGATGTTGAACAAATTTGATTATTGAATCTGAGAATACTTTATGGATATAAAATTGTGTGGAATTGGATGGTTGGATTGTGCTGTGTTGGTTGTGCTGAAATGTAGTTGTGGGAGGTTTGATTATTTATACCACGTGGTATAGCCGCCACTTGGCGCCCAGTGGTTGGCATTAACATTCTTAGGGCCCTCGGTATCACCATTCCTTTGGCCGGGTCAAGGGTCAGCCCAAGGGACTTGACACCTTTCCATATTCCAAGGAAAGGGAACCCATGGTCCGATATGAGCTCTGTAACTTTTGGCCGAGTTACACCTCATTATTGGAGAGCTTGGTGCAGTCTTGTAAAAGAGACGAATCCTATTATGTGTATAGCCCATGGGTTCTGTCAGAGGTTACAAGGAGGTTATAAGGATGGTTGATGAAGTTCTGTGCATGCAAGTTATTTTGAATTATTATGTATTGTTTTCTGTAAAGATGTTTAACTTATATGTTATTTGAAATTGTACTTTGCCCGCTTAGCTATCTTGTAATCACTCCCTGGATACTTGTTGAATTGGAATTGTGGTTACTGGGTCAATTTGACTCACCCCGTGGTTATTTAACATTTTTCAGGCGAGGGTTCAGGTGTTGGTCCCAAGGAGAAGGTGTCCGAGGCTTGAGTTTTCCTTTCCACTCTGTATAGCCTCTATTTTGATATACATGATTTGACTGATGTATATTGCCAAACTTTAGGGCCTTTTTGTTATACTTAACATGCGTTTAATTTTCCGCTGCATTCTAGACTTGAGTTATCGGGCGGAGTCCTTTTTGGATATAGGTGACTGTTATTTTGATTACGATTGTTATGGGCAGTGGTAGCAGTTATTTTGATGGACCTAAAATGCTCTAGTCCATTCATGATTGGTCTTAGTTATTTTTTGGGGTTTTAGAGATTCATGATGGGATTTGTTATGCACATCAAAAATCAAATGTTGATCCTTTCTTATTTGACTAACTATCTTTACTATCCTAGAACAGTAGCTACTACTCTGTTAAAGATTTGGTTTGTTATTGACCATGGTAGATTTCTATTTGATTAGGTTTGTCCTTCCTACCATGGTTAGCCTTTTAAAGTAATTATCCTTTTGAAAATGTTTATTTACCATGAATTTCAGGGGGTTATTACAGATTCAGGATTGAGACGCAGTCGATTATGTCTCCATCAGGACTCTGGTTTTAGCAAATATTATAAATTATAAATTTTCAACACAAAGGATCATAGATTTTAAAATCCTCAAATAATTTTCAAATTTTCAGTAAAACAAGGAAAAATAACCTGTTACCTGCTGATAAAAAACGTGAAGATGAATATACTGTCTATACATACCTTTATAGACTTGACGGCTGGTTTATTCAATTTCCTCAAAAGCTTATCAACCTCAAGCTTCTGACTAGAAGTAGCTTCCTGGCCATTGTTGACTGTGTCTTGACCTTCGTTCAGGTGTACAGACAACAAGAAGAAGCACAACACCACATTGGCCGGCCAAGTCTTCCCATTTCCTAATGTTGCTGCCATTGAAGATGAGAGATATGAAACAATCGACTATATGAAAATGCTCAAGTGGATGTTCAAAACTTGATGTTACGGAAATTTATGGGATGATTTGTACTATAAGAATCTGATGTTATTTTGTTGTGCTTGATTTTGTGGCAAGATTATCCTGAGAAATTGAATCCGGATGTAACAATGGCAACAAGACAGACAAAGAAAAATATTAATGCTGTAATCTATAAGATTCATTTACCCGGCTTGGTATAATATGGGGCCATGTTTCTTATTTCCCGGAAAAAAAGAAATACATGTATAATTTTTATTATATTCCCTTTTTCACTCTTAATTATGTTTCTTAATATGTTAGCCTTTCAACTAGTGTGGATCAATATGATGCAGAAATTTAAAAGAGTCATACTATTTATGATTGAAGCTTTTAGAGATTTAAATTTTTATGTTACAGATGTTGGTTCTTGCATACCAAATAATGATGAGTGTATGGGGCTCTTAACGTGAGATCCAATGCCCAATAATTGACCGCCTTTTGAATTCTACGATTTCTTTCTCTTATTAGTATAACTTGAAAATGAAAAATTTAAACTTTTTTCTTACCTTTGCTAAAAGAAGAAAAAAATCCATTATAAGAGGGGGGGGGGATATCTATATTAATTGATTACTTATCCTATGTTGTTGTTGTTTTTTTTTTAACGTTTTAGACTAAAAAGACAGATTCAACAATTTGCATTTTTTAATACTAAAAAAATTGCACAAAATATATTTTATCCAAACGGACCCTAATTCTAACTTTTCCTAGCGTTCTAACCTTTTTTCGGAGATTAATATGGGTGAAAATACTCTGTAACTGAGACAATGCATGAGTTCACAACGTTGCCATCACCATTCATCACCAACAATACATTCTAAAGTTATATTCAAACATAGTACTCCTCTGGTCCTTAATATAAGACCTAAGTGTTGAATTAATTTTGATCCTAAATATAAGACTTATTTCTCATATTTATTAATTTTATGAATACTCCCTCAACTATAATCAAGTAGAAAAGAGGGAAGGATATTAAGGAAGATAATTATGGTGTTTTAGAAAAAATATGTCATATTTCTTATAATTAACTAACTTACCTAATTTTAATCTAATCAAACTAGTTAAATAGGTCTTATATTAAAAATCAGAGGAGTTTAACAACATCTTGTTCGATCTATCAAAATATCTCAAAGATGATCCTGGGCAATTAGGGTTTCTCCCTGGACCACCATAATAGAAGTGGCTACCCCAAACATTATCAGAATAGCCAGGTTGGAGTACATTGTAGCAATTGGAACGGTCAGCGTAAGACACACGTTATTAGAAGTCACCATTTGGTTGTTACCATTAACAAATTTAATATCCTTGAAATAACTAGCTTTTCCCTGCAAAATGCCCACTTCCCATTTGTGTTGTTGTGTGTTGTCCATTAGTTCCTGAGTTTCCTACTTCACCTCCCCACTCTATCACTGTTGCACTGTCTGATAGACTTGAGAACAAAGAGGAAGGCCAATATCCCACAATTTGATCAGTGCCATATCGCATCCACCAGTCTCCATCGCCTTTATCCTGTTCATTAATTATCACAATTATTAATTACTATCTCTGTTTCAAATACAAGGCACTTTCTGAAAAGTTCTACATTTCAATATGTGAGGCATTTTACAAAATTCTGAGGAAAATAATATTCCATTTAGTCCTTGATATACGAGTTATTTGACTGATTTGAGTATATAAGAAAGTTGGATTAATTAATTAATTATAGCAAATATGACATGATCTCCATAAAATACCCTTGTGTAAACACTATATCACTATATCAGTTTATAAGTAAATTAGCTTGTAGAAAAATAATAAATATGAGAAACAAAATAAATTGAGGTCTTGTATTTAGAATCAAATTCAATCTCCAACCAGCTCTTATACATTAGGGAATGGATGGAGTATCTTTTTTATCTTGACTTTCAAGAGGAGTATATCAAAATTACTTGCTTCCTATTTAATACAAATAATTAATAATTGGCATTATGTAAAATGATATACCTTCCAGATGGTAATGGTGATTTGATACTGGGAATTAGTGTCATTGTATAGGGATAAGGGCATGATGCTGCTTCCCAAAGCTACTGCAGAGTAAACTTGAACAAAGCCAGAACAAAGAAGATCATAGCATCCCGTGTTCTTACTTGAATCACTCTGTCATATATACAGAGGTAAATGAGAGAAATTTCTAAGGACTAAGAAAAATATCTGAACTAACAAATCAAACATGTAGGGCTGTTATGAAAAGTTGAACTCACAGTTCAAAATGTAAAAAGCCTGGTGTGATTATCCCCATATAGCTGTGGATTCACCTAAATATCCAAATCAAAAATCGACAATTAACTACATAGATAAGTGCATAATAACTTCAAAAGATATTCAAGCATACAAAAGCATGAGAAGTCAAAAAAAAGTTTTATTTTATATGTCAGTATTTTCTTATTATTAATTTAATTATTTTTCTTCAATCTTCAGTTTAAAAATATAAAGAATACCTGCCAACCAGCTTCAATAACTTCGATATTTTCACGATCAGCATCACTTCCAACCCATGTTGCAGAGAGACTATATTCTTGGGATTGTTCAACATTAGGATTCCAAACGTTCATGGCTCCCTTGCCTCCATAATATTTATTTCCTTTAATAAATACCGAGGCACACTGGAAACTCCAAAAGCATCAAAGAAACAAGAAAAATACATCAAACAAAGCAAAACGAAACACAAAATCTAAAGCCTCTCTCATTTTGGGTGTGTGTGTGTGTGTATAGGGACAATACAAGTACGTACCCCGTATCCCCCTTGACCTCCACCATTTGGGGTTAAGGGTAGTACGACGTTCTTGAGATTCTTCTTCCCGAATTGTTGCATGGAGCTTGCTCTAAGTATGTCCTCTTCTCTTGTTCTTCTTATCGGAAGAGTACCCTCTGGACAACTTCCACTTTGGTGCATAGCTGAACGATTGGCTTTGATTTTGAAGATATTTCATTACTCACTTCAAGTATATTATCTTGTGGTTGAAAATTTGGCCTCATCTTCATTCAAACATGAAATCATCAATCGGATTGAGTTTTCTTTATCAAGAGTTTAAAGTTATATATATCTATATGAAGCAATCAAGCAAAGTGTTTCACCTTAATCTTGTGATTTTTGAGTTTCGGATGATTAAAAGGGGCTGATTTAGAATAGAGACACAATCGATAATATCTTCATCAGGACTCTGGATTAAGAAAAACAAATTGTTGACATAAACTACCATAAATACTAAAACTTACCAATAATTTTCTTCACTGTTTCAAACATAATGGGGATGAGAAACCAGGGATGAATTACATACCTTAATGGACTTAGCAGCTGGTTTATTCAACTTCTTCAAAAGTTTATCAACCTCAAGTTTATGACTATGACCGATAACTGTGTCTTGATCTGCTATTATCATCCGCACAGAAAACAAAAACAAGAAGAAGAAGAAGAACACCTTCTCTACCCAGCTGGTATTTTCGTTTCCTAATTTGTCTGCCATTGTTGGTGACAAATATCAAGCAAGAACCGTTTGTCAAATTTCTCAAGGGGATATACAAGACTTGATGACACTAATTTATAGGCTGATTTGTCCTGGTACATTGTGAAGTTATTTAATTTTATTGTCCTTTTATGACAAGATTTTCCCCGGGAAATGAACCTGGTGATTAACAACGATAACCAAAATAAAGACACTTTTTAATGTTTAAATCTGTGATATCCATGTACGCGGCAACCATACATAGTGTTGGCTTTCGTAAAAGAAAAGAATGAGATATATTACAATGTATGTAACAAATTGTCTTCCCCTTTGTGTAATCTTTCTTTCACTCTACGCATGTTTCTTCAATTGTATGTATTTTTCTTCCATGACCACTAAAGGAATCGTGTTTCCAACTTGTCTTTTATGTAAGTCTTCTTCAATAGTATGTATGCTTCTCCAGTGTTCTTAAAATTTTCTTCTATTAACATGTTTTCTGGAAACATTGTTTCACTATTTGGAAAAGTTCTATGTTTTCAGGAATCATATTCTGAAATTTTATATATACGTGTTTTCATTTAATGACAATTTCATCATTTCATCCTCATATCTATCTGCCCTAAAGGATATTATTGATCCTTAAAATGATTTTCAGGTCCTTTTATACAATAAATTTGCCGAGCAGATCCTTTTAAACAATTGTCTCAATTTTTTCAATGTTGAGTGGCGACAACTATTATATTTCAGAAATGTTTCAAAATTTAATAAAACATTTCTCACTCATTTAAAAAAAAGTGTTATTCTCTGATTCTCTCTCACTCTTAAATAATAACTTCAACTTGATCAAGGTAATTTTGAGAAGTTGTAAGAAAATTTTATATTTAACAAATTTTAACTAATTTCATTAATTTTAAGAAGTAGTCAACATGTCCTTTTATTTTTTTTAGCATAGGGAGTATCGTATTTATATAAAGAGTATGTACTGGTTAATATCATCTTTAGTATATAAAATTAGATCTTGTTTTGGTTTTAGTTCCCCTGAAATTCAACCTTGTTTTGATCCATCTAAAGATTTTTAGTTATGTTCCTAAAACATTGTTTTAAGTCCCTAAAACCTTAAAACCACTAGTTTCCCATTTCAAAGACCGTAACTAAAACAAAGTCAAATTTTATAGACTAAAGGTGATGTTATCTCCAAAAAAGAAATACATTTTGTCCCTTCCACGGCAAATTGAAGCACATGACATACATCGTCAAACACTAGATAACACTATATTGTACATGATTGATAACCTCTCGAAATTCCTACTAATTCGACTTGTTTTAGCACTCTTTAATGGATTTTGGAAGTTAATTGGCAGGATTTTCCTCTTAAAGTTAGAAAACATAATTTGTCAAAGTGAATTTTGATTTAGGCTAACCATTGGGAGATTATTGGTGCAAGGCTTCTATTCCTTGTGTAGGAAAGTGCAAGAGCTGAAAGATGATTACAAGGAGAAGGATTCAACTGAGTCTGGGTGATCAGGGTAGACCAAAGGCCCGGAGTGAGCAAGGAAGAGGGACCGGAAGCAGAAAAACAAAAAGGGGACCAACTGCCACGGCGCATGAAGACAACCACCATGACGGTTCCAACAGAGAAGATTGATGGCATTTGGTGTGATCCGCCACGGTGCCTGTCCCCATCCACCGCAGCGCCCAAGTTGTCTAAAGAAGATGCTATTCGGTGTAAGGCGTGTGGTGCCCAACCTTTCACCCAAAGTCCCATGCTATGTAATCCGCCAGGCGGATGACCAGATCCATCGCGGCGTCTGACCCCTTGCAACTGTGCATTTTGCACTATAACTTAAAAATTAGGGCATATACATAGGGGGACTAGTGATTTTTGATATACTTTGACCTTGGGGCTCATTTAGAGGCTTGCTCTACTAGGGTTTGGAGGTTTTGAAGCTTGGGAACATTGGGCTCGAAGTTACAAGAGATTGAAAGCTTCTTCCTCATTTTTTTCTTGGTTTTCTTCTTCTCCTCTTCTTTGTTTCTGCAATGGCTAGGAACTATCTTTATAGTTGTGGCTCTTTGCTAAACATGTGTAGCTAGAATAGTCATCCTAGGGTTATTTTGATCTATTGTATGAATTAAGACTTGTTTTAACTCTCTCTTTAGTGTTAATGATAATGTTTTGTTGTTTTTACCTTGAGCTTATTGCTTCCTTGTGACTGACCATCATTTGGATTGATTAGTTGATTGGTTGAAGCTTAAGAAAGTTAAATTAATCTTTGAACTTTGGTAAAAACACGCTAGACTGGAAATTTATCTTATTAAATGGAAGGCTTGTTGATAGAATAGAGATATATCTATTGATCTAGCATAGCCTAAAAAGGGGTTTTGGTTTTCAAAGCGCAACCTTTTCAAACAAATGCAAGAGATTGCTATGTTTTATTGAGATTGCAAAATTTGGTTTTGACTTGAGAAAGTTTAATCAATTATGTGAACCCTGGATTAACTAGACTTATTGTTAACTACTATTTGAGAAGTGATTAATCAAGTTTTAGGAAGTATATTAGTGAAAAATAACCCTGCTAGACCCTTATTTGTCTCAAAGTCAAGTTGAATTCACTTTGATTTAAATCTTTGTTTTTTTGATGTCATTTTGCAACTCTTTTACAACTTTTGCTTCACCTAACCTAACCAAGAACACAATTATATATGATTTTTAACTCATCTGGCCTTAGTCTCTGAGGGAAAGATATTTTTTATATTACTTGTGACCCCTCTGCTTGCGGTTAAGCTATTCAGTGAACAATGATATGATACAATGTCACACCAAACACTACATACATAGCGTTATTAAAATTGTATCTCTGGCCAATCTTATTCTATGAGCTTATATACGAGGCCTTGGATACAATATCCATCCCATGGATGAGGTCTTAACTATATATAGTACTAGTGATAAGGCTACGGAGTTCAATCCATGCAGGCCAGTAGAACTCCCTTATTTCCTTGACATAGATGGATGGATTTAGACTTTTCAAAGTCCCTCATGTTTAAATTGGGCAATTTGAGTTTCTTCTAGGGCCACCGTAGGAGAAGCGGACATCACCGTTAATGACAGGTTTAAGGTCAATGGGTTTGCTAGCAAAAACCTTAAAGTTATCAAGAGTGACCAGAGTATTGTTCTCATTAACAATGGAAAGTAGTTGTTCAAAATAGCCAGTCTTCTTATAACCTTCCTTGGAGAAATAACCACTTCCCATTTCTGTTGTGGTGTCTCCTCTTAGATTTCCTGTTTAATACTCCTCCAGTCCTTAATATAGCACCTAATTATTAAGTTAATTTTGGTCCTAAATATAAGATTTATTTCTCATATTTATCAATTGTTCCTAAATTATTCCTGTGAATAGTCTCTCAACCATAAGTAAGTGAGAAAGGAAGGATATTAAGAAAGATGATTATGATGTTTTGGAAAAACATATCATATTTCTTATAATCAACTAACTTACTTAGCTTCCTTAATCTAATCAAATTAGTTAAATAGGTCTTATATTAAGGATCGAGGAGTACTTCACCTCCCCACTGTACTATTGTTGCACTCTCTGACTAACGATCGAGCATAGAAGTTGGCCAGTACCCCATATTTATATCCTGAGCCCTCAACGACCAGTTTCCACTTCTTGGATCCTGGTCATTGTTATTATTAATATTGTTATCATGTTCATCAGTTTACAAAAATATAAATTAATTTGTAGTATCACTAAAATTTAGATATAAACAATTTAAAATTTCACTGAATATGTGTAAATTGAGAGAAATCCTCAGAATTACACATGTAAACTTCGTTTGGATGGGGAGAAAAATAGAATGGAGAGAACTATCAAGAGGAAAAACTTCCGAAAATATTATTGTTCTTGGAAGTTTTCTTTCGTAGTATTCTCTCCTTCCTATTTTCCTCTTCATCATCATTCTTTAAAGTTTATTTAGGATAACCTCCTTCCCAAGAAAAAATTGAAGGTACCTTCCAAATAAGGAGGGAGATGTCATACTGAGTACCACCATAGATAGATAATGGTTGGATGGTGGCTCCCAGTGCCACTGTATTGGAAACTTGAACAAAGCCAGAGCAATGTAGATTATAACAGCCAGTACGTCCATATGAATAACTCTGTTGGATGCGGAAAAAAAAAACACATGGTAAAGAAACAATAACAATAAAGAATGATTTCAAGAAACGAGAAATTATTGGGTTGATAAGAAATTTGAACTTACTGTCCAATACGCATAAAATCTTGGTTTATCATCCCCATATAACAGTGGATTGACCTAATTTTCCAAAATAATTCAAGAAACAGTGAACCCTGGGGTTAGTTAGATAGACACAGAAAGTAATATTTGTTGGAGAAATGAATGTGACGTGAAAGAAACTGCAGAATTGCCTGCCAACCAGCTTCGACACTCTCGACATTATCATTATCATCTTGATTTATAACCCAAATTTGAGAGAGACTATATTCACTGTGTTGCTAAACATGTGTCCTCCAAACGTTTATGGTTGCCTTGGCTCCATAATATTTATCTTTCTTCACTTCTGTTGTGGCATACTGGGGCCACCCAAACCATCAAAGCATCAAGAAAAGTATATCTCATATGCAAATCACACAAACAATGCAAGCTTCTTTACGGGAATTGTAATATACGTATATATATTTAATGTCTTTGAGAACACTCAAAAGATCTTTACCGCTGCAACAAAAAACTATTACTTCCTTTGGTTCTTGACATTAGAGCCACTCAACTAATTTGGATAAATCAAGAAAGTTGAATAAGTTAATTAATTATAACAAATATGACCTGATCTCTATAAAATATCCCTATGTAACATTTTATTACTTTATAAGTTAGATAAATTAATTTGGAGAAAAAATGATAACTAGAAAGACAAAATAGTTTGAAGTCTTATATTTAGTATTAAAATCCAACACCATTAGCCAGTGCTTATACACAAGGCAAGGTTTCTTAATTAGCAA